AAATAATTTTGTGTTCAGTAAGAATGACAGTTTATCTAAATAGAAAATAGATTATTTTCCAAATCCACAAAAACATTAAACAAATCATTGCTAGATCATGTGCAAACCTGTCTTGCACTGTTGCAGCTATTGATGTTGGACTAAGATCTATTTTGATACAGAGACTGGGTGTGCATAGAGGTTCCAGGTTTACATCCCTGTTTCTCACAGCTCAGGGAACAGAGTTTCTTTGCAAATCTAAAATGTGCTAAGAATTAATGAATGAAGGTCATGAAGAGTATAATTTTAATGTGAGCCTGTTTTTTTATTATCAGTTTGTTATTCTTAAAATAATCTAAGCCTAATAGAACAAAACCAAGAATAAACCACAGTAAATTGTTTACTACTGAAATCCACAGAAAAATCATCTGAGCAAACATTGTTAACAATAATATAGCTATTTTTTTGTCAATTCCTTCACAAAACTGGATGGAAATTTGACGGCATATTACAAAGCAGTAGACATGAAAGTCACACCAGAATGCATAGTTACTTGTATTTCTGTGCAAAACATTAAATGGCTGAAATAAATGACAAACAAGGTCATGCTTATGCCATCATTAGAACTAAAACATTTAAAATTAGGTGATTAGATGGTATATTAAGTGCAAAAGCTGTCTTCAAGCACTTAAATATGGATTGGGTTTCCATTTGGGTTGAAATAGTGTTTACAAATGCATGTTCCTTTTTCACCATAAGGACGGTCAGGCACTGGAACAGATTGCTCAGAGAAGATATGCAGTCTACATCGCTGGAGGTTCTCAAGACCAGATTGGATATAGCCCTGATCGATGTGGTGTAACATTATAGCTAATCCTGCTGCAGGTCAGACTAGAGACAACCTTTCTAACCTGAATAATCCTATCCTGGTATGAGTTTTGTGTTAGAATTACTACTATTAGGAACTTATAAGCATTTCTGCATGAAGGTTCATAATCACTTGTTCTCTTCAACAAAATATTCTCAACTGGTATCTGATAATATACAAGCAGCTTTTGTGTGAAATGAAACTTTGCTAGGACTGAGTTAGCCCTTGATCCCATGAAGTGGTCAGGGTTTGAAGTATGATTCAGCAAGGACCTTAGAAATAAGAAAAGATTTTAAATACCTCTAAAGACCACAGATGCATGATGTAAGAGGAGTCTGATGCTTATGAATTAAGACCGAAGTTTCTGTAACATCGGACTTTCAAAGTCACGTCCTGCGAGTGCTAAGAATACGCTGCAATAAGAAACAAAACATAGGTCAAATTCTTCTCCTGAGAAATTATTCTGAAGAAATCAAGTTCTTCAAAAGTTACCTCATCCCATTTTAAAAGATGTAAAGAGAATTAAAATTTGTCATCAATAACAGAAAGGAACTAAACAAAAAGCACAGAGCAATTCTCCTGTAGCATACTGTGCCAAAAGCAGATTTTTATCACATGCAAAGGTATCAACCTGAACTTATATTCTCCAATTAATTTCATAATGGCCATATAATGCACTCAATTCAGTATTAATTGTAATAACTGGGATGTAAATAGTAATGTTCAGGAAGTCGTAGAAAATATATTTATTCTCCTGTGGAATATCTTGGAAAAAAAGATGGATAAATCATTATCATCACCTGCAAAAAGATCTTTCTAACTGCAATATAAAATATTTCCCTGGCTCTGAAACATGCAATAAAATTTGTTGCACAATTTTAAGTCTGTACCTGAATTTATTTCCCAGCTCTAATACAAACAAGAAAATGAAATTTAACAGCTAATACTTAGTCTTGAAATCCTTGGTGACTTCTTGAGTTATGATAGTGTCCTGCTAGGCCTTAAAACAATAAAAAGCATTGTAAACCATTATTACTACTAACTGAACTACTGATCTTCAGTTGTAGATGTTCTGCGAGACAAGTTACTGTAACTTTTTGTCATGTTATATCTACTCTAACAAGCATGAGATAAGCTGTGACTTATTGTATTGCAAAATTGATTGCGTTCACGCAGACTTTGCCTTGGTTCATGATATATTTGATCTTATAAATTCCACCCCTAGATTAAGGTTATGACAGGTTAAAAGCAACATTAAAAAAAAAAAAAAGGCAAAAAAAAGAAAACAAAAAGTAAAGTTTTCTTGAGCTAAACTTAAGTTTTCATCTTGCTAAACATACCTGAGACACCTGGAGAATAGCAGCTATTATAGCATGTAAGAAGATACAACAGCAAATGTAACAATGAATGGGAAAAGATGTAAAATAACAAAACCGATCGTCTGACTCTGCCCAATTCATCTTATGCAGGACCACTGTTACATCCATGGTACACCACAGAAAAAAAATTATCTTAATTAAATTTATCTTAATTAATTAAAATTCATTTTAATTAAGGAACACTTTAAAGTATAGTAGCACCCAACCCTAATAAGGCTCCTTTTTTAAATGCAAAAAGCATTGTGCTTACTAACATGTTGCACACAAACCAGAATACTTTTTGCCTTAGGCTAGTGAGCACATAGATGCAAGGTTTTTTCCAAGCTATTCATAGCTAAAATCTGGACAAAGTGGTGCCAAATTACATTTTCCACTTTCCCTGCACAGTGCAGCATTTAGATGTAAGATTTAAGAGCATGTTGGAAATACAGACTACTTAATTGCAAGAACAAAACTTTCTAGTATGTGCGTATGTTATGTTGCATAAGATAATACAATCCATCTGTTAGAAAAATCCTCACTGAATATTGTATCTGTCTTCATAATAAACACGAACACAAATCAAGATTTTTTTTTTTTAAAATGCAAAACTGAGTAATAGTGAGCCTTACAAAGAAGTATGTTTAGGAACCTGAGGCAAATTATACATGTTAATGTTGGAGTCACTGAGAACAGTTAACACAATGTAACCAAATGTCAACTGGAATATTTTGCAGTAACTTACCAAAGAGGTCTGTGTTTAATGAATATATGAACGCTTGGTTTCTGCATTTTCGACTTCAGATGGTGAAGATTAAGTGCTAAGGGTGTTACTGTAAACGTTGAAGTGAGATGAGCATCACTGATTTTCTAATTTTACCACAGGGTTTATTTCAGAAGAAAACAAGCCCCAGTTACATAGTTCTCCTACAAGTCAGTAAACAGTCACACACGAAAACTCAATACAATTTGCTTCTTTGTTTATGTGCAGGATATTTAGTTTGGTTTGCAAAGTATTAGAATAATAATAAGAACCTCCTGGCAGAATACCGCAACTAAATTTCTAAAAAGCCACTCAGTTAGTGTTGAATCTAGCTGTTTCAAATTACTGTAATGTATAATAACAGTCTTATTGACAATATAGATGCACAGAGCCAAAAAAAGCTAGAAATAGTGGCCAAAATGATGAACTAAGCGCCAGCCCAAATGACAACAAACATATGGCGATTAACTAAAGAATGGAGGGGTTTAGGAATGCAGCTGTCTGTGGTCTCCTAAAAGTTCCAGAGGAATGAAATGCTGTGAGGATTGGCAAAGTTTGCTGAGCAGCACTACTGAAGATGGTAGGTCCTAAAATGGAGTCAACCATCGGATCATGCTGGAATTTACAGATTTCTGTGGCCAGAATATATTCATTCCATTGGCCTCATAATGTACATCAACAAATTAATATTGTATGGATGTCATTTCAAAGCCTACTGAAGACGAAGAGCCATTACTGAAGCCATTAGAGCACAGATGGCTCAAACTATATGCAGATATTCATACTTGCATTTCTGCATTATAGCTGTTTTTTTTTTTTCTGTTGAACTGTAATGAATTGTCTCATAATCTATTCCATCTTCTTGCCATTAGCAGGCTTTGAATGTTCACAAATAGGAGCAAAGAACTCATTTTCCAGAGCTTTAATCACACAAAGAGGGAATGCCTAATTCTCTAAATGAAATGGTCTGTGATCACTGAAGCAGAGATTTAATATATCACGGCAAATTAGGTAGATTTTAATAAATTACTTATCTCTCTGAATACTTTACATATGCTTATGAAGAAACATAGCCTGTTTGCAAACAGTAGAAATCCACAGCCTATAAAATCTTTTGAAGAAAATGACAAATAAAATAGTAAATTAAAAAATGAAATGTATTATATCTTCGTTCTCAAGAGACAATCCTTTTGCAGCATTGATTCACAGCTCCATCAAAAATATCAATTAAATCCTTCACTGAGATTGGTTAAAAGCTGGAAAATTAACTTTCTGAGCTAGACACTAGTTATTCAGATCTAAGAATTCATTATATATGTTTGATGTAAGTTTTGAAAGTGACAAAAACCAAACAGAAATACAATTGCCTGTCCCCACAGCTCAAACCAGGTGAAGCAAAATCTGATGCTGTATGGCTTCTTTTTGTGCTTTGACAGATGTTGGCTCAAAGTAAATCTTTGACTGTACAGAAAAATGATTGTGCCTGTCCTCCCCCTGCTTCAAATCAGGACAATCATAAACAGCTGATTATAATGTTAGTAGAAGGGTAAAAGTTATTTAAAAAAGGTTGCAGTAATTTAATAAGTCCTGCAACTAGCCTCATTTTTTATATTTAATTGATAGGAACTGCATGCATCAAAGAAAACACATACTGAGATTTAATGTGCATAAAATGGATATTAGCATTTTAAAGAGGCAGATTAACACATTAATCCAAGTAATTTTCATATATTGCTTTTAATAAAATCTTCACAGTATAAAATTCTTAATGAGGCTAATCACAGGCATTCCATTTAGTGGGGTGATTAGGGATAACATAAAAGTATTTTTAATCAGTTTTCTAAGGCTTATGGTTTTTTTATTAAAAATTAAAAATTTGACTTGCATTTTTATTACTGTTTTATGTATGAAAAAATCATGAAAATGCAAATAAAGCACAACATTCAATCATGTAGGTATTAATTATTTACAAGACGTTGTCCATTGTGGAAAGATTCTTAGCCTTAGGGGGGAAATATAAAAACAAACAGACTGAAAAGTATACAAAACTTTACAACTACAAATCAAGCGTCCTTTTCATATAAATTATACATTAAATATACTGTAAGAATTACAAAGATCTCATCTTTGAAGCACTATCAAGCATGTATTTACACTGGGAGAAGCAACTTCTGTAGGCAAATTTCCCTTTCATGCCTCCCAGTCTTCTTCGCATTCCTCATAGACTGAACGCAGCACATGGAGGGCTTCCACTGTTACTTTGAGCTTCCCAATTACTGCACTATCATCTTTTGAATCGAAAACTAGAAACGAAACATCAGAAAACAGCATTAGCAATTTTATTTAAGGCTTGGCTTTTGTTCTGGTAATTTTCCTTAGCATTTGGATTAAAAGGCACGTAAGCATATGCTTAAAAAAGAGAAATAAATAAATAATCATAAAAGAAATCTTCCGTTTCTGGCACTCAGACTACTGGAAACTGAGCACTCCAAGAACTAGAATGGTACATGAATGAAAGTATCAGTCTTGGAAGTAACTTTGAAATAAAGAAAACTATCTGTATGATAATTTCCTATATAAATTAATTGTCACCATACATAAACCTTTAATAAAGGCATATATGCATACTTATAAATAGTTTAAAGTAAAAAATATACTGACTACTGCCTTGTTTACACTGTGTATATGACCAGTAAAATCAGCCTGGACAGTTATTAGTATTTAAGTAGTACAATGTTTTTTCCATCTGGTGCAATGCAAAATTAATTTAATTCTAGGCTCCTGTGTTGTAAAACAGTGAAGTGTGGGCAAAGATGGTACATCCCCCTAGACTAAACTATTTAACCACCTTCATCTTTGTGTATGTGGATTTTAAAGTAGTATTTAAAATTCCTACTTTACAGAAATTAGCTAACATGATTTAAAACTGCACTCTTTTACAGTATCTAAGTAAGCCCAGAGGGCCACAATCTCTGCTACTCTGATTAAAAACATGCAGCTAACAGTTAGCAGTGAGGCTCTTTTCCAGTCCTGCATAAAAAGCAATGAGGCTGCCTAACATGACTCTAGAAGGAATTTGAATAAAAACAAATAGTCTTGACAGCACATCTTTTCAAAGCAAATTATACAGCAGAGAAATGGCAAGGCTATGTATTTACTATACAAACTAGGATATGTACTCTGGGACATGCTCTGATACTGCATGCTACAACATCTAGGCTGCTGGGACAGCTCAGAAGAGCTCTGGAAAACAAAAAGTATGGAACAAAACCTTCCATCATTTACTACGTTGATAAAGCTATTACAGGACAGACTGGATGCTATTCTTGGAGATTTTCTACGTCCTTGGACAAATCCCTCAGTCAGCTGTAAACCTGAAGACTTCAGAGACATTATTCTCTTTACTTATAAGAATGGTAGGACAACTGTAATTAATGACATCAGAAGATAATTCTATTTTCTCAGTTTTAATATTGCCATATTATCTCCGAGACATATTTGCAGAATAGACTCATAGAATGGTTAGGGTTGGAAAGGACCTCAAGATCATCTAGTTCCAATTTTTGTAATATGTCTTGTCTATATTCTCTTTCACCCAGCCTCTTGCTTAGCTATTCACTCAATTGCTTCAAATTTCATGCAGGCCATTTTGACGAGATCAGCAATGAAAGGAACAAGATATGAGAAAGATATATGCTTGCAATCCTCAAAAAGAATAAAGGAAGTTTATGGTATTTAACTTTAGAATGATTAGAGCTTCATGTGGTAGTGTCCTGTGAATCTCCCTGCGTCTGGGTATATTCTTTTCCCCTCAAACCAACATCCACCTCAGAGAATGTGTCCATTATTATTTAGGAATTCTATTTATTGTGCTATTACACTTAATTAAAGTCTGTGTCCACATCTTAATTAAGAACAGATAAAAAAAAAAAATCGAAACTGTACAGAATCTGCAGGGAAGGGAAGAACTGTGGACAGGAGTAAGAGTGGAAGTATTTCTATCTTTTACTATCACTTTCATAGATACAATGTATATAAAGTAAACATTATTTCAAATGTCCTATGATTAGGGGAAGAAATGCTCCTCACAATGTTGAAGTACTTGTCATTACATAGTAGCAATTACCTTTTGACAGAACCACTAGTATAAAAACCAGTCCTTCCTGTCATAATAATTATCTCAGATGCCAATTATGAGTTTTAAAGAGTTTTGTAAAAGGTGACTTTCAAGGCTACAAAATTATATCACTAATCAATCTTATCAACTGGGAATTATGACAATGGGAATTATGGCCTAAAATACAGAACAAAAACAATTTTCCAGTGAAAGAATATGAAATACCTTTTTGGAGTACATGTGCTTTCTTATAACTTCTCGAAGAAAAATTATTGGTAGACAAAAGATTAAGTAAGCCAGAGAAAGAAGCGCATGAAATCCATATATTATTTTTCCAGTGTATGGAAAATTTGATTCTTTTAAGAATTTTCCTTATCATGTTCCTAGAATTTTGATGCTTACTTTGAGTATTTTAGCTACAGCATAGATGCAAATCATGCATGATAATGGAAATGGATAAGAAAGCCTATTTCTTTCCCTCACTACTCAGCTCCCCATCACTCAAGGTATGGTAATTCGACACAGCAGTAGAAGTAAAAGAGTCACATCAGCTTGGCATTCTACTATGGCTAAACAGGAATTCTTGCTATGGCAAAGAGTAACTTGCCAACATGGGTGCCCTGCATCTAGAAATCAAGCTGGTTCACTTACCATTACAGAAGAGTAACTGTTTTGTAACAAATATACCCTCAGCTTCTTCACTGAACTTCACGACAACAGGGAAAG